CCCCCAGCTCTGCCTGCTGTAAGGTCCTTTTTTTAACCTTTATTTGTCCAGGGGTGGGTTGTGCTGAGCATGCATGCTCTATTCCAGCTTTGCCCTTCTTCGCTTTCATGCTATGCTGCTTATATATTCTGCCCCATAAAATGGCAGTTCCTCTACTGTTGGCCTCTGAGCAGCTGCTCAGCACCTTTCACAAAGGTACGTCTGTAATATTCATTCAAGAAGGGTTGTTAGTCATTCACTTTCAGCCAGCCTGGTTCTTCCAGCCAGGCAGCTTCTCCTCAAACCTTTAGGCTACTGCTGTCCTTTGTATGGTCTGGTCCACCAGCACTTCTGTTTGAAATGTTTGTTTATTAGCCTCATGGAATTGATTTTGATAGTTTTTGTGGTACTCCTGACTCCGTGTAGTAGAGCTGCAACTAATTATTTTTTGGATTAATTGATTAATTGAATCAGAAATTTGTGGAAAATGGTTGTCACAATTCCCTGATGCCAAATATTCACTTTGCTCGTTTTGTCTAACAGTCCAAAACACAAAGATATTACATTTACAGTAATATGAAACATAGAAAAGAAGCACATATTCAAATTGTTGAACCTGGAACCTGGGAATGTGATTTTGCTTAAAAAAGTCGAGTCGAAATCGATTATAAACATGACTGCAAATTAATTTTATGTTGATCGACTAACCGTTTTATTGTTCCAGCTGTTTTATGTATCCCACATTTGTCTGCCCCAGGTTTTGATTGTGATGTTACATCAGTGTCACAAACTGCTAGATTGTTTTGCCTTTTTATCCTGCCATTAAATCATTTTGGAGATACATTGGCTAACTGTAAAATGGCTGTGATTGAGCCAAGTGTTAACATCTCCTACAGCACTAAATCCAGCCCTCAGCAGGGTCTGTGTGTGAATGTACTATCCTACTGTTCAGATATGAAGACCTTTTCTGCTTCTGCAGCTTTGGTCACACCTGATTTTTAGCCCCACTATCGACAGCTCAGCTTGGATGGTGATGTTATAGTCTTGTCTTTGTTCAGTTGGATGCTGGAAACAGTGCAGTCAGCTGTTAGCAGGGCTTTTAGTCTTTTAATAAACTCAAAATGTGAAGTATGCAGTGCATACACAGTGGAAAAACTTGCTAAATTGAGTATACTTAAAAATGTCAGCAGGCATACTTAAATTGCCTGGTATTTGACTGTAGTCAAATGGACGCTACTGTCTCTCAATGCAGTGGAGGAGCTACTAGAAACTGCAAAGAGTGAAAAGATGTTAGAGAGTGCTGTGAATAAATCCAAAATATATTAAAGAAACAGTGTCAGTTCTTAAAAATGCAGTTTCTAAAAGCAGTTTTCATGTTTTTCATGGCAATAGCGTTAAAAGTTGAATTTCAGTTGACTGTCAATCAGACATCTGTCACTGCAGTATTTCTGCACAGTGCATGGACTTTGTCTATAGTAAAAGTCAGTATGCTACCTTTTAGTAATAAGGAAGTGGGGCATACATATAGTTTTGTGAGTAAACACTTCCAAGATGCATGATGTCCTATGGATTTTGAGAAAAGCAGTTCAGCACACAGCTGTGGGCTGGTGAGTAATGGTTAAATACTCCGGAGGCAAGAGGCTGACATTCTCAGCCAACATTTTAAGCCCAGCGATGATGATAATATGTCCCATGAGAACGTTTGACTTCCTCCCTCACACCTAAAGCCATTTAACTATAGCTGCCGTCACTCGCCATGTTAGCATCACATTGGAGAGCTCGGTATGTATGAGCATGGTTTTCTTTTTACTGATGCAGTAACTGCTTCCCATAGACACATTTTCTCTTTGACCTTTAAGTTGAAGTGTGTGTGAGGTTATGTCTCAGGATCTAAACTCCTATGAAGTGTTATTTGCTCTTTAAGTATATAAATCAGCTTACTGACTTAAAAGCTTCATTTGAGCAGGATTTCTTGCTGCTGCTTCAGGCTGTGACTTTTTTTTCCCAGCAACATAAATTCAATGAGCTGTAATTAACACCAGTTCTTATTGTCCTTCCATGACATGGCTCTGAGGAAAAAATACAAGCTTAATAATTCCCAGTAAATCTGTAACTACCAAATTATGTGAAGCTGTTTTTGGAATTTTGGAATATATTTGTCATGTGTTTTCCCCCAAAAGGGCCACTCGCTCACTGTTCTTGCTCGCTTTCCTTCTCTCTGACATTTTTTCACTTCTTCTGTCTGTCTGTGCTACTGTGCTCCCAAATGATGGCACATTTTATTGCTTAGGTCTAATTACAGTACTCTCTCCAGCTCTTCCCCCATACCTCCCTCTTGTCATTTTTGATTTTCTGGCCAAGCTACAAGCTGCAAAGTCATAAATGTCTGTATTTTTGGAGATTGATGATCCCGCAGACTTCTCTTCTAACCCTTTTCAAAGTTGGCAAGAATACTTTTTCAAAGATATTATGGTTATTAAAGCTGCTCTAATCAATATTTTTATATTGCAGTGGAACAAATTACTACATGTATGTGAATGGTGTTGGACGCAGTGACGAACCGACCGAGAATTATCAGTAGACTGTAGTTCCCCTAAGCTCTACTTTAGTGTCTTTAAGCTTAATGTCTCTAACTTTGTTGTTCTGATTTAGTCTCAGCACTCTCACCAGCCTTTTTTTCCAGAGGCAGCAGGCAGCTCAGATAAACCTCCACTGTACACTACTGTTTGCACTAAACAACAGACAAACAAAGTAAGCATCAAGGTAGTGAAGAAGGTGGAGCAGTTAGCAGCTAAAGTCAGATTTCCCTCAGGAATCGATGGAGATCAAAACAGAACTAAAAGGATAGTGAATAATGAATATATATCATCAGGTGGACACAGGCACTCCAAACTCCAAATCAATGCTAATGTGTCTGCTGGGTGTGTAAATATGATAAATGATTTGACCTATGACTGATAAGTGCAAGTTACACCAGCTTGCTGATGCCATTCTGTGTCTGTTAATTTCATGTGGTTGATTCAATTTCCTCCAAAGGTTAACTTTAAAGGTGGTTAGTAATTTTTGAAACAATGGGTACTTGATTTCATGAAAGCATACTTCGCATTTCTAGACAAAAATTTGTAGCTAACATAATTTGTCAGCTGTAACTAGCTAGCTAATTAAGCTTACATTTTAAATGATTCACTCCACCAGAATGTTTATAAAGGAGGAATCTGCATAGAGACAGAAAATCCTTGTCTGCAGCTAGCTGTGTTAGTGTTTTACAAACACCAACGGAATTTATTAGTCTATGACAAATTTACTATTGATATAATTTTCCGAATATTTTTTTATTTTTTACTGCTTTGCATCAGAATTAGAGAGGAGACATAGAACCCAATGCCAGTGCACACATTTAAGTCCATTCTTTAAATTTTAAAACTGAAAACCACCCTTCAAACTGGTGTGAATGTGAGAGTAAATGGTTGTGTGTCTGTATGTTTGGGTGCTAGCCCTGTGATAGACGACTCACCCTGTACCCTGCCTTTTGTCTATTGTGAGCTGGAAAAAGGCTCCAGCCCGCCATGACCCTGTCCAGGGTAACTCGGTATAGATGATGGTTGGATAGATGGATGAACGAAATGATAGATGGACGGATGGGGAAAATGTTTCAGTGCATCAGAAGTGATGTACTTCATGTTTGCAGTTAACAATAAATAAAATAGTACTACAGAGTAGAAACACAAAGCAAACTTAAAGAAGACACTGCAACTGACAATCCAAGGAAAGACCAAGTGCTCTCTTGCATGCGGAACAATAACGTCAGAACTGCTTATACTTATATAAAATAAGCACCTTTAAAGGTTGCATTGAGATTGAAATTCTCTTCATAACTTCAATAGAAATTTTGGCTCCAACTCTTTCACTTCCCTTTTCCTTTTTCCTCCTTAAGCACACAGGAAAGGCTTTATTAGACGCGGTGATGAGGGTTGGAGTACACCACACACTCTCCTGTTCTACATCTCCCCAGTGTCCTGTCCCGCAAACCTTTTATTCCATCTTGGGCCACTACTTTACAACGGTGCTTATAAATGCTCAGTTGAAGGCCACGACCCCTCACAGGCCCCGGCAGGCTCATCAGCCTTTGGATAAACACGGAGAGCGAATATCCCACTTGGCTACTCACTGAGACAATGATGGAGCCAGACAGCGTGTTATGTGGATCACTCTCGCAGACACAAACTCACACTGAGCTGGCGGGGTTATGGAGATAAGGTGCGCTTTATTTAGCAACGTCAACACGACAGAGCCTAAATGGCGACGTCACCGTGCAGTCGGCTGCATGTGGAATGGGTGTACCAGATTTTACAATAGCTTGTTTTGTTTCATAGTACAGTTCCAAAGCTTGCAGATACACTGATACATTAAGGCAGTAAAACAAATTTAAAGTGTAGCTGTCAAAATATGTGCTGTAAGAGTTGAAGAAGTTCGTCTTGTAGAATAAATTACCAAGCAAATCGACTGTGATGTTGATAAGGGCTTAATGAGCGTCTGTTAACAATGTGTCTTTGAAAAAGCGACTTAACTTTGTTTTCATGATTTTTTTTATTTTTGCTTGGCTGCTATCCATTTTTGTTTTTGCTTTTTTTTATGTTGGCAGACTATGGAAGCTTACATGCTATTGTTGCACTCAGCCGCTCCGGTTAAGAGTGTCAAGCTAAATGCCTGAAATGCAAAATGTAAATGCAGGGGGGAGAGTATTCACTCGACAGGGTTGTTACTCTTTTATGCTGATTTGGACAGCGTTCTAACTCCAAGACATTTCCTTGACATTCATTTGTATTTTGCCTGCATATCTCGTCAGTGCAGTATACTGTGCCTGTGCATATGGAGGGCTCATCATCTTCGTCTTCGGGTGGATTGACGGAAATGCTGTCAGTGTGCAGGCCCGGTTCTTCCTCACTGATTGTTTTTATGATACTGTATTTATGATGACTTTTGTCTGATCCCCTGTTTTCCTCTGTCCTTTTATGCCTTAGGATCTGAAGAAGGTGCTGTCTTTCCCCCCATACCCTGGGGAGTTTTTGCACCCGGTCGTGTATGCCTGCACGGCGGTCATGCTGCTCTGCCTCTTCGCCTCCATCATCACATACATAGTGCACCACAGGTAAGATGAAAGCACCACATCAGTTCTGTTGAGGTATACATTTAAACTTTAAGCCTGTTCAGCCTGTCGCACCATGATTTAAAATTACAGCCATTAACTTCATTTCTACATATGGACACTTGGGCAGACGCTTATGTAATCTCTTCATTTCCCGCCTTTTTTCCTTCATGGTTACAGTTTGTTTTTGATTCCTCTGTCACAGATCCTGAGCTGACTGTGGTGTGAGTCAGATGCTTTAGGCTGGCGTAAAGCACTGCAGCCTGTCTGACTAAGAGGATCTAAAACACATACACACGTGTGTATGTGTGTGTGTGTTTCAGACATTCATAGCAAAAATGTATGCTTCTAATGGATTTCTAAGGGTTACTTAGGCCACCTTTATTCCTTTTATTCCATATGGATACAAGGATGGAGAATGCACCATGTGGCTCTCGTGGTTTGACACTGTGGCATCTGTCTGCTTTTCTTAGGTTCATCTGCAGTGGATGCTGTTATTAAAGCAGGGGGAGCCTTATTTCAGCACACCAATCCATCATCTGTTGTTCTTGTAGAGCATCAGTCACTTTATCATGTCCGTGGCATTAATGTGATATTATTGTAATAGCTCTCCATCCATTTTAATACAAAGGAAAAATGTCTCAAATCACAAATGTGTGTTTTCATCATCAATTCTTAGAATAACACAGTTAACTGATGTTTTGTCAGAGAGATCTTTTTTTAATTTATGCTTTCCTGTCCTTACTGTGACTGAAGCAGAAAATGTATGAAACTGTGTGAACACGCTGCAGCATTTGCAGTTTGCATCCATCTGTGTCACCTGGGACAGAGACAGGGTGCGTCCTTCTGCAGTCAGACAGTGATGACAGCATCTGGGGCTCCAAACAGCAGCATCACTTACTGTCGTCTAGGACTGCAGTGTTGACTGAAGAAAAAAAAAGGAAAACTGCAATAGAAACAGGAGCAATTTCAAAATTACAGGAGATTGAGTTGGAGTTGATTTGTGAAGTGAAATGCAAACAAACGACACTGGATATTCTACTGTTCTGTGCAGAATTTCTGAAGTTGTAGGTCATTTTTTAATTATATCGTTATTAATATTAGGAATGAGGTCAAGAAGAGTGCTAAAAACCCTCAATCAGAGGCATTTTTAAAAAATTAAATGGTAGTAATGTAACACAGCATCAATTAGGGAGAAAGGTATTCCAAAAACTTCAGATAAACATTACAGGTGATAAACCATAAAAATGGAAAGTATCACAGTTATGAGTGTTGATTTTTTGTATAATAATAAATACATTAAAAGGCTCGAGAACACAACCACCTGTGCTGTAATATAAGATTAGTTAGATAAATTATATTGGAATCAGACATTGTTGTTTGTATGTATGATCACGCAATGATGCCATAGTTTTGCCAAATGTGTGGGAGGGCGCACATGAGTATGTTTACTTACACATGCATATTAGTTTCCCGGTTTTAGTGTTTGAGTCTCGAGTCTTAGCCTGGTAATGCCAGGATATTTATACAACAAGACATGTCACATTCATCCATTCACACACACACATTCATACACTGATGTATGAGATCAGTGTGAGGTGCCAACTGCTCATCAGGAGCAATACAGCTTCCTATCCAAAGCGCTGACGATGATACTAAAGCTCACACATACACACACGCTCAGACACCAATGGCACAGCCATCGGGAGCAATTTGGGGGTGAGTATCGTGCCCAAGGAGACTCAGACTGGATTGGTAGAGCCAGGAACATTCACAACAGTACTGGATTTAGCTTTTCAATCTCATCACCAGTAAAAAAAACAAAAAAACAAAGGAGATTGACAATACCGTTTATTATCTCCATTCCTGAAGTCAGACTTTCCTTTTATTTCACTGTGTTGATCATCACAACGTCATTTACGTACTAAGACACAAAGAAATACAAGATAACAACATTACCTATTGGGGGTTTTGACCCAACGTGGTGTTATTTTTACATTACTGGTGGAATCACAACAACCATTCTTTTGGGTGGTTTTTTTCCTGTTGGTATTTCTAAAATTAACCACGTATTGTGTCAGTGCTATTTGGATCATTGGGTCAATCTGAATCCAGTATTTTGTTGTGTGTTCTCCATAACTTGAGTTTCCTGTGAGCGTGGCAGAGAATGGTCAGCAACTTGGAAAATTAGAGTGCTCAAGCTAGCATATCCAGGTTTATGAAACCAGGAAAAATATTTTTACATAGGTAAAGCATAACTGAGATACAAAACCCTAATGGTAACCAGCATACTTTTACTCATGTTAACACACTCATTCATCACAAAGGCCCTTTCAGAGCAAAACGACATTAATTCCAGTCCAGACTAGAGTGAGAACAAGCCCATTTAAGATATGAAGCCAGAGCTTTTGTCTGTCACACACAGGGGAGGGTTAGTAGCTTTTTCTGTCAACAGCGGTCACATTAACAAACTCCAACACCTCTTCGTCCTCCACACCTCCCTCTAGGCACTCCCCAGCACTAAAACACATCTCTGTTTAGTAACACTCGAGTTGTGTAGTATCACTCCAGCTGACTGACAGTATCCAAGCCGTGAAGCGCCGGGACTGCATGTTAAATGGGCACAATGCGAGGGAGGTTGTTTAAGGATAGGCACAGTAGATTGTGCATGTTTGAATTTGTCACTTTCTCTCTTCAGCTAACTAACACATACACACATGCATAAATATATGCGTACAGTATGTGCTGTTGGTTCTGTCTCTGCCTGCAGAATGATTATGGGTGCAATGCTGATGCATGATGTATGAGCCTAGTAAAGAACATAGTGGTGGGTATGATGTCTTTGAACCCAAAATCATTTCAATCCAATAAGCGTAACTTACGTCAAAAGTATTTCCAGAATTAAAAGTCAATCAAAATAGAGCATACGAATGTCACGCAAAAACTGAAATAATCAGAGGAATTTACGCTTTCCAGTGGACATCAAATGATTTTTTCTTCTGTATAAAAAGAACTGCAGTTGATTGTATATCATGGTTTGAGGAACCAATAGAAGCCCACTATAACCGACAACATCACATCAGCCAAAAGTATGATAAAATCTTGTTAGAAAAATCTGAAACTTCTTAATTACTTTAAATTAATTGGAAAGAAAGGAACAATAGACAGAATTTGAGATTTCTTTTTTCTTTTCTTTTTTAACTCTATCCACACAATTTGTGACAGTAATGAAGAATACATTTTATAAGCCTGTAATTAAAGAAAGTGGTTGATAATGGCTACCAACATGTGTGTTGCCTGATTATGTTTAGTGAAAAGTAGTGGACATAAGAACCCAAAAAGAAAAGATAGTAGTGTAATCATAATGACAAAATGATCATGTTGTTTTATCTTTTAACTCACTTTCGTAATCCAAATGAATGATTTGAAGGCCACAAAGTATGGTAAAAGCTGCCCTGATCAGAATTTTTACGTTAACAGTGGGTGAGCTGAATCTAAAAGAGGTTACTAATGCGATCTCATGAAGGAGTATCACCCGACTCTACAGTTCCCATCAGCTCTATGACCGGGCTTTGTAGCGTCTTTTAGCTCATTGTTTTGGTTTTACAGCCTGCAACTTTACTGTTTGGTTCAGTCTCACAGTTCTCATCAGCTTAGTTTTGAGCTGAGTAGGCAGCTGTTCTCTGCGAAAAATCTCATATAAACCTAACTGTACACTTACTCAGCACCAAATAACAGACATTAGCAGCTTGCTAGTGAACATATTGGAGCTGTTAGCTGCTAAAGAGCCATTTCCCTCTAGAGTTGATGGAGACCTAAACAGAGCTGGTCTTTTATTTGTAGGCAGAACCATGACTGAATGTTTGTGCCCAACATGTTGTAATGTGATAATATAATTGTTGTGTTTATAGATTGTTGCTGTCCCCAAGTGGCCAAAAAAATCTGTTTTTGTGTGAATTTTGTCTGATTTTGTTTAATAGAGTGGAATACAGTTAATTGCACTGAACATAAATGACTGTATAATATATTATATGGGACTTGCCATATTGTTATGGTACAGTATTGGGATTTTTTTTATATTGTGTTATTGATTCAACCATATAGCTCAGTCCTGTTGCCAGGTGGTTCCTTTTCTGCTTCATAATTAGCATGAAACCACTTCCATTTCTCCCTTTAACAGCACTGCTACCTGTGGTTTATGGGACTGATCAGCATGTTTGGAATGTGTCTTCCACCAATGAAATGGCTTGGCTGAAACTACCCATTGTATAATGTGTCACATTATACTGTCCACAGCTTTATCGTCCCTTACATTTGGCTCAGGAGTGGGTGCAGGGTGAGAGAGCAGATGCAAAGAGAGGACAGTTTTATCCCCCCTCCCACCCTCTGGGAGATGGGGATGTGGAGGGTTGCCAGGTTAATGTACTTGACCCAATGAAAGCCCAAAGCAGAGCCTATGAAAACCCCCTTCCAGGGAGGCCAGAAGCCAGCCTGATTTATGGCCTCTTTGCTGGATGGAGTTCAGTGCTTGGACCGCGGCAGAGGCATCAACAACAGCAGCTTTAACTCTCCCTCCCCTTACACAGAGCAGTGAAGCTCGGCCCCAGACACGCCTCATAGCTCACTGCTGAGCCACTGCTTCATCTACAGTTGGCTCACGTGCAGCCGGGGCTCCGCTCCTCCATTTTGGGGAGTGGAGATTTCCAGCACAGGGTTATATAATTTCAAATGGTGACAGTCACTGTATGGATGAAAAGGAGGGAGCCGACACAGGAAAGTAATTAAAAGAATCGATGGTCTGTTAATTCATACAGTACGACAAATATTTTAGTATGGTCTGACCTATTTAGCCTATTGTCTAAGAGCTGGATGGAAATGGTAATGTGGGTTAAGTGCCCTGCCCAATGCTGTGTAACCCCCCGGCTGATGCCATATTTCACAAAGTAGAGATGAGTGCATAGTTTTACATTGTGAAAACTTCAATTGGACCAGCCAACTGGAAGCAATCTCTTTTTATTTCATCATCAAACCAGTAGAGTGATTCCTGTTTGTGTGCATATACCACTGCATGTACTGTATGTGTGAAAGTGGGTGCAGGAGCTGTGTAGGAAGGTTGTATACAGAATGACTTCTTACTTAGAATCTTTGAATAGCCCTTTTCTTTTCCCTGAGGTCCAACATTCTAAAATAAACATTATAGTGTGTCAACCATTCTGTCAGCTGAGGATTGAAAGTATTCTTAACCTGTTTTATGCTTCTGTGTCTTTCTGTGTTTGCGTAGGGTTTGACCTTTTGAAAAGGTTTATATTTTAAAACTGACACCTTTTTATCACTTTATCATTGTCTGAAGATTTTAAACAACATTCCTATAAACACTATTCCTCTGAAAGTTCAATCAAAATGAACTTAAAAGCAGTGCATCTCTGTCACTGAGTGGCATAGATCTGTGAGTGTTTGTGTAGGAAATCCTATGAGGAATCCAGCACTGTCCATACAGAGTCAAATTGAAAGACATGATGTTTAGAATACACCTGGGCCACAGAGTCATGGGCATTAAGTCTGTGGGCATTATTTTATGTGTGTTTCTGCATTGTTACTGGTGATATTGTGTTTTCTACAATGTTTTCCCTGTTCCACACTGTGATTGTAGTAATACAGTTATTAAGAGCGAATGTGGTGAGACCGTGAGTGATGTTGTGTGCATGATTGATGACATACCCAGGCAAAGGTACCTAATTAAATGTTGATAAGCAAGAGACAATACAATTTGAATACGGTACTATTTGATGTGTTAACAACTCTAAAAAGAAAATGGTTTTTTGACAGTTTTGATAAATATCTCTGCTAAATGTTTTGCCTTAACTGTTTTAGTGAGATTAATAGAATACAGAAGCCCTGAAAGGCAAAATTTTGTTTTGTTTTGTTTGAAAAACTTGAACAATAAATCACTTGTGTTTCAGGGCTTCCATAATAGAAATATGTTGACTTAACTTGAAATTGAATTGAATTTAGTGTGAATTATTACTTTATTTTTAAAGTTGAACCAAGGTTAAAATGTTTTCAGTGTACTTGAAAATATTCTATTATTCAGTACATGTATTGGCAGTGGAGTATGTAATGGCTTGTTTGCACTACTCAAGCTCTATGAGCAGCATTCCCTATGCTCTCCTGTGGATGTTAATCTATATGGCAGTAGCAAGGTAAAAGAAAAGGGCAATTTATGCAGACCTTGTAAAAGACTGGCTTAAATCATACTAGAAGTGACTGATGGGTAACGCACCTTGAAAACTGAATCTCATTGAGATTTTACTTTATGATGAATCACAAAACACTGTGTGGTATGGTATGTACCTGCTAATTTGTTTGATTCTTGGTCTTTTTTGGCAGCGCAATCCGCATCAGTCGGAAGGGATGGCATATGCTTCTCAACTTCTGTTTCCACACGGCTCTGACCTTTGCTGTGTTTGCCGGCGGCATCAATCGAATCAAATACCCCATCATCTGTCAAGCAGTAAGTGCATTCCCTTTTCATTCATCCCACTCACAAAGCTTTTCAGAAAATTGATTATGAATGTCTATTCAGGTGTTAGCAAGCCCAGCCCTGAGTGCAGTATGTGGACGTATAGTAACCCAGCTTTATGTGCTTTCATGCTTCAGCTACATATATGGCCTAGTCACTCTTTTAGTTAAGTGTTGACACAATGAGCCCCAATGATTAAGGCTTTACCATCATGAATGTACTCACTCTATGTCTCTCTATTGTGTGTCTGTGTGTTCACTTTTGTTGCCTAGGGTTAGTTGTGGGTTATATAGTTCAGATTGTATATCATTTTCATGGACATTTTGGAAAGTGTCAGTATGTAAACCATCTCTGGGTTATTAGAATTGCACAGGTTTTGTCTGTAGGTGGTCAACAAACAGTTAATGGTGTTCCCACAACTGGCAACTGTGCCACTGTGGCTGTCATGCCCAAAGCTTTCAGATGATAGTTTCAGTGCTCAGTGTTTGAGTTTTTCTCACCAAAGCATGCCCACAACTGTGGAAAACCCCCCTTTTTATGTCATTCTGTTGGTCAACTCCCTTAAAAAATCACACAATTTTGGGAGTCAATGAGTGAGGAGGCACTTTAAAGTTTTTAAATAAACTTTTAGAAACATTATGTATGGCATATTGTTAATTATTTATTTTTGTAAATTTGGGAAACATTACACATTTAGTTATTTCTTACTTTTTACTATTATTTCCTAGTATGTTGGCTAGGCAGCGGTACAACCTCCTCTACTACCGTCAGCAAGTCAGCAGCCCCGCCATAGGGAGACGCTTCACAGTGGGAGCACGACAGACACTTTTACTTTCTCTGGCATTAATGTCTTTCTTCGTCATCTGTGAGCTGAAAACATCAGATTTCCACACAGTTGAAAAAGCAAAAGTGTGCGTCTTGCTCATAAAGTTCAGTTATAAAATCCCACAGCGCAGCAACCTTTTACCTCCAGGGCTGCTGACTGCGCAGGTAAAAGCGACGGGCGAGTGTGTCGCTGAACTGGAAAAAAGGACAGTAATAATGGATATTGACTGACAAAATTTTGAGTAGGATACAGCCCTATAGAGCAGGGAAGTGAGATCCTACCACAAGCGGTCACTCGAGGTGCATATGGAGCCCATTCTAAAAGGGCTCATTCATGTCCCCTTCAGGATGAATTATATTTCTTTTGGTGATTTTTTTTTTATCAATCATCAGTTCAAAATTTGAATTTTGCCAACACTTTCTGACTAAATACCTGCATAAAAACATTCCCATCTGCCTCAGCTGCACTTTGTGTGTAATGGCTAAGAAGTAAATGTTGGCTGTTAGCAAACTAAGATGAATGTGCTAAACAGTACACCTGCTAAACATCTCATTGTCTCAGTAACTAAATACCTTCGTATGGATGTTAATTTAGTCTTGTTCTCCACTATTTTGTCTGCACATTCTGTTGTTCATTTAGCTGAAGATTAGTTTTATTTTCACTTCCATCAAGCTTCATCACTCTGCATACATAAAGGCATGTATGTGGGCGCAGCTTGTGAAGGAGTCCTCCCAGAATGTTTTCAGCTGTTTTGTACATAATGATTAATGCTCAACCTTAAATTTGCAAAATATAAATAGACAAAGGGGAAAAAAACAGTTGCCTGAAGTCTCTCTGAATCATCAGAATACCATCTACTACTGCCTAAGATGATGGATGTAGGAAAGTCAGTCCCATCTTGTGATGCAGCTGTGTGTCCCTGCAGTTGGACTTTCTGACCCTTTTGCAATCAGTGTGTGGTCACATGGGTGATCAGCCCACAGTTACGAATGAGTGAGCGAGACCTGTGGAGGGACATTGAGATTTGGTGTGTCAGGATAGGTTTGGAAACAGGTCAGAGAAATGCTTTTTTTGCCTGCTGGCACCTCACTATTTTTAGGCTGTTGGAAGAATGGAGAATGGAATGGAAGTGTAACATGGGGAATTAGGGCTGCACAATTAATCACAACATTATCAAAATTGCTATATTGCAATATCCGAATCACAGAAACTGCAGTTTATTTGATAAAGGTAAAATGTGTGACAGAACTGCATTATAAAGAAGTAGTAGTTGTAGTTCTGCAGACATGCCCTGGTCTACAAATCTTCTTCTCCAAATGTAAGAAGTAAGTAAGTTTGTTTGATACAGACCCCCATAAATTTCACATCATCATGATTTGAATAGTTTTGACAGAGAAAATGAAATGTATGATACAAAAAGGATCATTCCCTTTAATTGTGAATCATATTGCAGTCACAAAATCTGTCAAAATAATTGCAATAATTTAATAGTTTTTACAATATAGTGCAGCCTCAATTACAATGTTTATAGTAAATACAGAATGTAACATTGTAAAGGGACTGGGAACAACAAAGATATTTAATTGGAGTGTGTTGCTCATGGAAATAGCTAAACCATTTCAAAGTGACAGATAAGAAATGGCACATATGTTTGAGGTTGAGAGTCTGTGTTAAAAAGAGAGAAAGTAAGAATTAAAAAGTAATATGATGCTTTTTTTTATTCTTTCACATGGCTGGAAAGCCATATGGTCCTGGTGGATTTCCTTTCCAGTTGATTGATAGTTGGACCTGTTTAGGTTGTAAGCATGAAACATCAGCTGGATGAGAGCATCCTCTGCTGTCAGCTCACCTTAGCAGGGGGGGCATTTACTGTATGTAGTCACAGAGAGAGTCAAGAGATTGATGTACACTGCTTTCTTGCTTTTCACTCACAGTCTCAACTGCCTTCACTCAGTCACTGTTTTCTTTCAATGGGCCTTGTTCGCTTCCTTTATTTGAGTGAGTTGCAGCACATTTGGGACTCTTTGCTTCCCCTTCTGCTGTCACAAGCACTTTAGGTTGCCCCTTTCTCCACAGTGTAAAGACTCCACCTCTACATGCTGAAATGCAGGGCGTCATATTTCATGCCAGCCACCTTTGCCTGAGCTGTGTACAGTAGCAGCAGGCTCGGTGACAGGGAAGTCTGTTAAGAAGTCACCACTCGTGTCACAGCCGTCAAGTCTTCCTCCGCAACTGTAACTGACAAAAAATGGCAGGTGTTGGCTTCCCTCACTCACCTGCTCCCTGCCTTTTAAGATCATAGTAATAACTTTACTATATATAGTAACAATTCAACTCTTCACTCTGCTGACAGTCATCTTGAGGCTGGAGTTCAGACTCTTAATACTCCTCACCTCCAAGATCAAAAAAATACCCACAGCCATATATCATTTTGATAGTGTATTCATGTAAATAATCACCATTTTCTAAGGAGGAATACTTTGTTAAGGGTTAGTAAGGGTAAGGATTGGTTGTAGCTTGAGCCTGACCAATAAATAAATAATAAAATAAAATTTTGCCTCATTTGGTGTTTGACTGATGCTCACTTCAAAGCTCTGTAAAGCTGAGGAGAGCTGCAGATTCAGGTGATAATTCTCTGTAGGTTCATCACTGTGTGTGACCCCTCTCACATTGTCACTTTTTCTTTTTTTTAATAAAAAAATAATGCTTTATTGTCCAGTAGTGAGACACATTATTAAGAAGAACTTTTGGGTTGCCATTTTGTGTCTGGTGTATCATCTCTGTTTACTAGCTCTTTAATAACCCTTAAATACATTTTATAAACTTACTTTTAACATTTAAAACTGAAGTTGGCTAATCAGAAAGGGTAATGCATTTTTCACTGTATAATAAGCCATCAGAGATCTGCAGTTATAAATGTTAGTAAGTGCTTGTTAAATAATTCCTCCGCTACAATAATCCATCAATTGCAGTTGTAAATTTTAATCAGTTGTCATTCGGTGGATTTTGGTTTGGATATTCTCTATTTTTCATAATGTAAATGGGTGAACTGTTCATTTAAGTTCTGATGAATTAAAGATCCAGTTAAAAGGACAATCCAAAAGGACAACCAGAAAGTTATTCTTTTTAAATGCTTTCCACTGTGATGTAGAGGGCAATAATATATGATTCATTAACAACTAATACATCCATTAACTACAACTTATAACCCCTTCATAAAGTATGCCTTGTTAGAGAAGTGGTACCTATAAATGTTTGCCATTTAGTCATTGAGTCAGTCTCTATGCAGGTGTTGTTGACAAAGCCGTGTAACTTAGTTGGCCCTGCTCGTGTTCTTTAACTTATTTAGCATTCATTCATTTATCTAATTTTAGCCCGGGGCCTTTGAATGTTTCTTGCTGCTCCTCCTTTACCCAATCACTGCTAACAGGACAACTCTCTGCAGATTTGGGCAGGAGCCCAGATTGTCTGCTGTTCCACTGGGATCGAGGCAGGCCCCACCAGACACAATTTGGGATAATTACAGGACTGCTTGAGGAGATGTGTGATCACACGACACACACAGACACACACACACACACATTCAAATGCACACACACTCATACATGCAGTGCCTGCTGAGTTCTCTGTACTCCCACCAATCATCCCACCTCCCTTCTATACACACACACACATGCCCCCCCTCCCTTCTCCCAGAGGAACACATAAGTACATGCTCTCCCTCCGACAGAAGGAACTTCAAGGAGCTCTGAAACTAGCTTTGGCAGCTTTCGCAGCACTTCAAGCATGCACTCCCCACCCAGACCTCCTCCCTTCGCCATCCTCCCTTACCAACTCCACCTGCATCCTATACTCATTTTCTCTCTCTCTCTATCTGTATGCCACTCTTCAGTCTTCCCGCCCACCGTGGCACTGTCGCTATGCAGCATCCGATGTCTTTACGGCCTCAAAGTCAAAGTCATATCTGATCTCTATTTCTATCTTTTCTTCCAACGAGGCTCGTTTTGTCATTGATTTGAGCAACACCCCAGCTGTCACGCTACATCTTCTGTTTGCCTATATTAAGCAGCAGAACAACATACAGTATATCCTTGCTTTCCCTCGCCTTACCTCACCTTACCTTAGACCATCAAAATGTGGATCTCAGTTGATTGCTTAGTGAGTG